CAATGAGCAGCCCCCTCTTCTTCTTTATTCTTATTGTTATTATTATTAATTTTTTTTTGGAGAGATTTTTTGCTATAGGGCGCGTGTGCTTGCCAGACAGACAGAGAGAGACAGAGAGACAGAAAGCGAGAAATCACCCCTGGGGGATGGCCATGCCTCAATCCCTTCTCCTCTCAGGATCTGGGGCACGCATGTACACGCGCCTGGCGTGAGTTTTAAGCCACTGGGTTCAGGACGTGAACCACGGTCGACTACATGGGAGTCCAGCGACATAGCCATTATGCTAACTGCTGGCCCCAGCAGCCCCCTCTTCTAAAACCTGCCCAGCTGGCCGTGTTGATTGGGTTCTTGCAAAGATTCCCTTTTCCTCTCTCTAATGCTTCTGGCTCGGCGAAGCCCTCTCCTCCAACTGAGCCTGCCAAGCCATCTGCTGGCCCCTCCACAAAGCATGACCACGCTGCCCTCTTTATCCTGTAACCAGGTTCCATTGGGCCTTCTCTGAAGCGTCTCTCATGACCTCAGTCACTGTTGCCACCAGCTTCTGCCCTCTGTGCCCCAGTCACTGCAGAGAGCTTCACAACGCTCTTCTGTCTCCCGCCCTCTGGGGCTGCCCTGCAGACCAGCGGCAGAGTCTGGGCAAGGCTTCCTTCCAGGCAAGGGCACGTGTTCACACTCCTGTCCCTACTGCCTCGTTGCAAACTCTCCCTAGTGGCTGGGATGCCGATGTCCCAGGACAGGTCTCCCAGCAGGCAGGACAGGCAATGCATAAGAGGGAGGCCTGGGCTCCAGGCTGACTCTGCTCCTGCCCAATTACAGACAGCCTGGGACCAGCCGGCCTGCTCTGGAGGCCCCTCCTGCTCATCTGTTGTGTGACATGAGCAGAGGTAGTAGCTACCCGTAGGATCCGTTTATGCTTTAAATGAAACTCTGAAAGAATGCCCAGCCATGAGTGCTCTGGACGGCACCCTGAGTCAGCTCAGCTTGGTCTCTCCTTCCCCTGACCCCGGGGCCCTTCCCAGCACCATGCTCAGTGGGTTCCATAAGAGAAAGCTTTCCTCCAGGGTGAAAACCTCATCTGAACTGTCTCTTGGAAACTCCCCCAGGCCCAGGGCCAGCATCTCACAGGCCTTGGACTTGGCAGCGATGCCACCCAGTTGGTTGGTTTCATGGCTACCATAGAGCTTACCCTTCCTTGGGTTTTGTTTGTTCGTTCGTTCGTTTGTTTTGGAGAGGTTTTTTGCCCTATAGCAGATGAGAAATCACCCCCCAGGAGTGATGGCCATGCCATAATCCCTTCTCCTCCATTGTCCTCTCAGGATCCTGGGCATGCATGCACATACGCCCAGTGAGAGTTTAAGCCACCAGGTCTGGGACTCAAACCGTGGTTGACTACCTGGGAGTCCAGTGACGTAACCATTACGCCAACTGCTGGTCCCAACCCTTTCTTGGTTTTAAAAGTCTGTTTTTGGGACCAACAGATGGTGTGGCAGTTTTGTCGCTGGGCTCTTCTATAGCCCACTGCAGTTTGAGTCCTGGATGCAGTGGTTTGAAACTCATGCTGGGCACGTGTGTGTGCATGCCCAAGATCCCGGGAGGAGAATGGAGGAGAAGGGATTGTGGCCTGGCCACCTATAAGGGGTGATTTCCCACTCTCACTCTCACTGTGTCTACTTGTCTTTATCTGGTGAACACACATGCTCTAAGGCAAAAATCTCTAATTTATATACATACCTGTATGTGTGTGTGTGTGTGTGTGTGTGTGTGTGTGTGTGTGTGTGTGTGTGTGTGTGTGTATTTCCTCCCTCAGACCAGTAGGTGGCGAGGTAAGGTTAAGTGCTGGACTCCTACGTGGCCGACCCTTGTCCAGGACTTCAAACAGGCCAGGCGTGTGTGCATGCATGTCCCAAATCCTGAGAGGATAGTGGAGAAGGGATTGTGGCATGGCCATCCCCCTGGGGGTGATTTCATGCTTTCTGTCTCTCTTGTCTTTCTGGTAAGTGTCCGTGCCCTATAACAAAAATCTCTCTTATAAAAAGTCTGTTTTGGGGACCAGCAGTTAGTGTAATGGCTATGTCGCTGGACTCCCACGTAGTCGACCACGGTTCGTGTCCCGGACCCGGTGGCTTAAAACTCACGCTGGGCGCGTGTGCGTGCGTGCCCAAGATCCTGAGAGGAGAATGGAGGAGAAGGGATTGCAGCGTGGCCATCCCCCTGGGGGGGTGATTTCTCGCTTTCTGTCTATCTGTCTCTCTCTGTCTGTCTGGTGAGCGCACGCGCCCTATAGCACAAACCTCTCCAAAAAAAAAAAAGTCTGTTTTCCTCATCCTGTTCCCAAGCTGAGAGAGAAGCAGGAAGAACAATGATGGGACTCAAAAGCCTCTCTAGGATCAGCCCTGGTGGCTTGGTGGTTAAGGTGGCCGGATCCCACATGGCAAACTGCACAGTTTGAGTCCCAGAACAGGCAGCTTGAAAAACATGCTGGGTACCTGTGCGTGCCCAAAACCCTGAGAAGAGAATGGAGGGGAGGGCCGAGCGACATGGTCACCCCCTGAGGGTGCTTTCTTACCTTCCCTCTTTCTCTCTGGCAAGCACACATGATCTATAGCCAAAACTAAGCAAACCAAAAACCTCTTCCAGGTTCCAACATGTGAGACAGTATGCAATGTCAAGAATTCCAAAGTTGGGGCCGGCAGGTGGTGTGGTGGTTAAGGCACTGAATTCTCACACAGCTACTAAGTGGTTCAAATCCTGGACCTGGTGGCTTGCTTTTTCACTCCCCCTTCCATTTCTCTCTGGTCAAATTAAAAAATAATAATAGTACACAAAGTTAAATGAGTAATTCGTTTAAAAAAAATGGAATTGAATAGTTTCACAAAGCCTTGTCTTTGTTTTGGTCCTACATGGGACGGTAGCCCTGAGTGGCCAAAGCTGAGAAAGACAGGGCTGGGAAGAACACACCCAGGGCAAGGGAGAGAAGGAGGGACACGTGTGCTAGAGGTTACTCCGGCGTCTCCCCACAGGCTTCCTGTGCTAGTTCAGTCACAAGGATGCAATCATCTTGATATTTTGAAAAACATTCTTATTTCAAAATAAGGAAACTGAGGTTTTAAAAATCACATTTCATGTACTCAGAGGGTAGAATTACAATACCGGGGCGGAGATTTCAACACTGCCACTTCCTGCGAGACTGCTCTAGCCCCCGTCCTGTTTAGATCTTTAGTTTATGGTAAACTATTAGAAGAAATTAAACATCCTACTGGCAATGTTTATCATTAGACTTCACATTTATATTGCTGATTGTAATGAGGGAACTAAGACCTTTCTAGGAGTGATTTGGAATCCTTATCAACTCTTGCATTCTTTATTTTTCAACCTCAAGAAAAGCCAGAAGGCACTGGCTTCTGCCAAACAATGAAACTGGAGATGCTGGAGGGTGACTCTAGGTTAGAGGCTGACTTGGCAGGCTGTTCGGGAATGGAAGGCGTGGGGTTCAGGAGCAAAGGCTTCGGCTGGCTAAACCACTTCACTAACTGAAATCTATTAAGCCTTGCAAAGAAACAGGAAATTCAAGGAGACTAAGGTCAGGGTGTCCAATGAGCACAGCACTCCTGCATCAGGGCCAGAGAGCGGCCAGCCGCCACCCCACACCCCCACACTGCAGAACTGCCTCTCTGAACCTTCTGCCAGGGCCCCTGCACATCGCAGCAGGATTTAGAAACTGGTTTCCACCCAGAGCCTCTGGTTACCCTCCCAGACTCACAAGCCTGGCGCTCCCTTCTGGGAAGGTCTGTGAAGTCCTGGTGCGTCCTCTCCCACAGGGACATCTCTCTTGCATTTTCAAGGAATGCGTGACCAGCCTGTTCCTGCTCTAACCCATGGTAGTCTAAAGTCAAGAGTGTTTTTTGTTGTTGTTTGTTTTTTTGAGAGGTTTTTGCTATAGAGCGTGTGCACTCACCAGAAAGACAGAGAGAGACAGAGACAGAAAGAGAGAAATCCCCCCCCAGGGGAGATGGCCACACCACAATCCCTTCTCCTCCATTCTCCTCTCGGGATCCTAGGCATGCACGCACATGTGCCCGGCGTGAGTTTAAGCCGCCGGGTCCAGGACTAGAACCATGGTTGACGACATGGAAGTCCAGCGACATAGCCATTACGCTAACTGCTGGTCCCAAGCCAAGAATATTCTTTATCATTTCCAAAAACTGGCATTTTTTGGTAGCTCAAAAATACCAATTCCATGTTAAAATCTGTTTTAAGGGACCAGCAGTTAGCGTAATGGCTATGTTGCTGAACTCCCACGTAGTCGACCGCAGTTCAAGTCCTGGGCCCAGTGGCTTAAACTCACACCAGGCACGTGTGTGTGTGTACCCAGGATCCCGAGAGGAGAATGGAGGAGAAGGGATTGTGGCATGGCCATCTCCCCTGGGGGGAGATTTCTCACTTTCTGTCTCTGTCTGTCTCTTTCTGGCGAGCACATGTGCCCTATAGCAAAAACCTCTAAAAAAAAAAAAAAATCTGTTTTAAAACCTCACATCACCAAAATGCTAGAACAGTTGGAGAGTCAGTCTGTCACCAACATGAAGTATACCTATTTTCTACCTGGGTATCAAATACTTGTCAGCTTGCCTCCTTCAAAAAGGCCTTATTTGAAGCCACACAGGATTGCCATAACATTCCCTGTTAAATTTTGTTCTACTTTTATCGAAGGAGATAAATTATGCTCCAAGAAAATGAAAGCACCTAGTCAAGAAATCCAAATGAAATCTTAACTCCTGGGTCAGCCCGTCCTTAACTGCTGAGCATTTCTGTAAATTAAAACAAGACATGTAATCCAATTTACGCTGGATATAAAATGACTTCCAGGTCTAGAAAGGAGCCCCTGTGGGCACTCCACAAACATGCAGTGATTGATCTGAGGCATGACTGCTTCTGCATCGGGGTTTGTCCCAACCATCTGAGACCTGAGTCACTCGGAGGACTCGACGCCCGGCCCTGCTCACCTGTCCTCGAAGCACACGGTGCACTTCCAGGTGCGGGTCCTCCGCGGGAACACTCGGCAGTCCCTGCACACGCGGTGGCTGCAGCCCCGGCACACGGCCCCCCTGTTCAGCCGGAGCCCCAGCACGCGCTGGCAGCGGGCGCATGACTTCTCCCTGTGCTCCTGGCTCGAGCTCTTCGCCCCTTCCCACCGGAGTCGCTGCAGGTGTGCTTTCAGTTTCCTGCAGCCACAGAGTGAAATGAGAGACGACAGAATGGAAGGACAGACGCCAGGTCACAGAGCATGAGCCCTAGCAGCACTGCCCATGGTGAGGGAAGGGGCTTTAGCATCCCACGTCCCAGGCTCCAATGTGGCTGAGTAAGCAGGGTTGGGGGGAAAGGAGGGCCTCGCTCAACCTTTCGGGGGAGACCAGGCCAGGGGCTTGCTTAGCTGTAAAGCCAAGGATCCGACCTCACCTGCGGGGGTTGCTGTGAGGATTAAACGGCAAAGCATAGATCAAATGCCTGGTACAGAGGGGTTAGCTGCCGACCGAGTCCTAGGTTCATCCCTTTATGCCCAAAGGCCTCCGTAATAGGAAGGGAGGAGGAACAGACACAAAAAGGGGCCTCAGTTCTAATATGCAGGATGGAAGTGTCTACAAACTCAGCTAAGGCATGTAACTAACACTGCGCTTTCCCTGCTGCTTCCCCTACCCCTCAAACCCCACCCCAACTCCCCTGGGCAATGGCCATTTGTGCAGAGAAGCTTCTATTGGGTCCCAGCAGGTGCCATTGACCACAGCACTCCTTTATGAAATGTCTGCCTTAGTATTTGAAAAACAAGGTTCTATCGGAAACGCACTCTCAAATTAAACGCTCAGGAGTCGCCCTAGAACCCGTACCTCTTAGAACAAAACTTCCATTCCACGCTACTTTTAATATCCAAAATGATGTCCCTGAATCACTGAAAGATCTGTAATCGCTGAAGGAAATCCCACTTTTGCCTGGCATATGATAGTTGATAATGGAGGAACGTTTACAAGTATTAGCCCTGAAATAACCAGGGATGATGGAGAAGGAGTGTCACGCCGTGCAGTTATGCAAAACACTATCCTCGTTCTTCAAGTGTTTGGTTGTCCAGAGCGTCATTTTACATGTGTGTTTTTCTTGGCAGACTCAGAGTTCTGCTGCTTGAGACAAAACTGTATGTATATTTAGTTTCCATTTGCCTATTTTCTGAAGCTCACACTCTCTGTAAACATTGGCGGAAAGTCACCATGGTATTCAAACCTGATCTTGACAGCTGGAATGGGCCCGTTTCCACACAGTTAAGCACCCCTGTATTAAATGGGAACTCTTATCAAACAGCTTGTGTGCTCAAGAGCCGGGCCAGGAAAGAAGCTCCCCGTTGGCAAATCAGTGCGGGAACCGGCTAAGCAGGTTCATGCTCTAGGGTATGTTCCCTTTCTCCTCAAAGCCAACTGGGAAGCAAAAAAATAAAAATAAAAAAATAATAAAAAAATAAAAATAGAGCAAAGAAAAATAGACAGGAATGGATTCCATTGGATTGCTGTTTCTAAGCTGCTTTCTTCTGGGTTTTTTTTTTTTTTTTTTTTTTTTTTTTTTTTTTTTTTTTTTTCTGCTTTTGCACCTTGGGGTATCAATAAAAATAAGGTAGGAGCACCCTTAACCTGAGGTCTCCCTCTTAAGGGCTGAACAGAAAGTCAGAAACCTTTCCTTGAAGTGTTCCCACAAAGCAGCAGGTAGAGGACAGACAGACGGACAGCAAATTTATTGCAGAAAGGCACCACTTTGAATGAACAAGAGCAGCCTCCCTTTTCCCTAACCGTTTTCTAGGTTTAGCGGGGCAGCAAGGTCATCTCCGCCCACACCCCTCCCTCAGTAGGAGCCTCCCCGACAAGCCAGCAAGTGGTGACAAGCCAGCCAGAGGCGGTGACCCCAGGAGGTGGCTGGCTGCCCAGAACACGGCCCCTCGGAGCCCCACCCTGAGCGCTGTCTGCCTACCGGACCCTCTGCTCCTCCACGTTCTGCACCTCCCGGTCTCGGTACAGGACCTGGAGGACGGCCTCGCGTTCCAGCTCCTTGAGGGCGTTCAGGTCCACCCCGTGGGCCATCTCCTCGCCTCTCTGCGTCCCGGTGGGACGAGTGTGGTCCGCAGCGGGCCTGCTCTGCGAGCCGGCGTCCCTCTCGCCGCCCCTCTCCTAGCTCCTTGGTGGCTGGGTTTCACCTGCGGCTTGTCTTTCCTTTCTGAACTGTGTCATAGTCCTCCAGAGAAGAAAGCCCCAACAGGCTGCCCCTGTCGGTGTCACTGGTGTCACAGCACTGTCAAGCCTCCAGCTGCCCAGGGAGCGTTTTCACTGGGTTCTGCCACAGCCTCTGGCATCCGCCTGAAAAACAAGCGTATCTTTTTTCTGAGGCTTTGCCAGAGATTGTTATAAATTATGCAGGGCTCCAAGCAGATAATTTCTGCAAAGCAGAAGTAATCCCCAAGCTGAGGAAACTTACAAGTAGCAGTAAGAATACCAGCGCCCAGAAGCCAACCTTCCACTGAAGAGGTTTCCGGGCCAGCAGGGACGGCCACCCAAAGCCCAGTCTGTCCGACACCTGTAGAAAAGAAACAGAAAGTGGCTACGTTGTCCCCAAACAGCCTGAGTGGCTCTGCAGCAGTGCTTCAGAAGGTGTTCGACACCAGCCCACCTTCACGCTCTCCGCAGCGGCTAGGATGTGAGATTTTAGGTTTTATTAAATGAGCCTTCTTAGGATTCTAAAAGCCTCAAACTTCCAAAGTTCAGAATATGACTCTGTCTCTTTAGTGGCCAGATTAAGGTCTATGCTGAATGGACATCATCCTAATTGAAAATAATTAGAAAATAGAGTTCTCTGCTAGCTATTATTTCTACGATTAACTTGAAACAAAAGGATGTCATCCGTTAGGGATATGCAAAGCAGCAGCACCACAACCACGATCCGTCAATCACTCTTATTATGGTCTGTAACAGTCTTCGAGCTGCCTTGAGCCTCGGGTCTCATTTTCTGCTCGATGCTACTTGAAGAGTTCTGCACACAGTCTTTTCCCCAGAAGATGTAGATGGCCTAGTCAATATGTAAGGGACTTCTACAAGTTCATGGAAAAATAGAATTAAAGTGCAAGTTTATTTTGGTGCAAAACTCTTTGACCTCCACATACCGTTTGTTCATGATTCACGTTTTCCATGAACTTTTGAAGACTCCCCATGCTTTCTATGATGCCATTTTTGTTACCAAATCTATGAGAATCCTGGAGGAATAAGACACCCTTCCAATGCTGTAGAAGCTAAATGAGAAGCCCTTTGTTGAGCTTCAGCAGAAATGCACATTATATTAATTTATGATCCAGAGCAAAATACTGAATGAGAGGTAAACAGAGCCCTGAGGTATCATTGTTTTTAAGCCAAGGTTCTTAACCTTTTTTCTCAATCTTTGGCAGTCTGGTAAAGTCTATGTATTTAAATGCATAAAATTAAATGTTGAACTACGAAAGATATTGATTATACTGAAATATGTTTTGAATTATAATATAGTAATATGTGTTCAATTATGCACCAGATAATAAGATCTAGCAGTGGTCTACTGACTACCATAATGACGAGTGTAAATATTTCGAGATACCTACAGCATAGAATGTGGTGTACAAACACGATTACCCCTGGAGACAGATTCACAAGTCCTGTTGTTGCCTATGTTCATAATTTAGGGCCAGCCCCATAACATAGTCAGTAAGGGAGCCGGATCCCACATGGCCAACTGTGGTTCAAATCCTGGTCCTGGCAGCTTGAGAACCATGCTGGGCAGGAATGTGTGCACCCCACATCCCAACAGACGGAGAAATGGAGAAGAGATCGTGCCATGACCATGCTCCAGTAGGGGATCATTTCTCTTTCTTTCTCTCTGTGGTGAGCATATGCAACCTCTGGCAATTAAAAAATTTTAGAAGAAAGAAAAGAAAAGAAAAGAAAAGAAAAGAGAAGAGAAGAAAAGAAAAGAAAAGCCTAAATCTCAGTTCCAGGAGAATGAAAATAAAGATGTAACTTTTCCCGTCTGAGTTCATGGACCTGCAGGAGAAGGACTGCTGGCCTAAGGGCTTCACAGCTCAACGGTTCCTCTACTGTGAGATGCAGTTGTGGGAGGAGGGTGGGAAATGGCAGAGGTGAGAAATAGGGGGAAAGTATATATATACACATACATATACGTACATATATATACACATACTATATATATACATATGAGAAACGAGAAATGGAAAATGATTTGCCAATGATAACATGTATGAGTAAGCCACTATGCAGTGTATTCTAGATGGGAAATCACATTTTGTATGCCGTGATGATGCTCAGTGAATGAATGTAAAATAAATTAATAAAAAAATTACATTGCTCACTCCAGCTGTGGCAGTCACACGAAGAGTAGGAAAACTAGAGCTCTAAAAAGGGATGCTCTGGGTCTCAAGCTGCCGGTGGTCCCCTCTGCTCTTCAGTGGCTTTCTATCCACACAGTGGGGAAACCACAAAGCAACCAGGAATTCGGGGTCTCACCCAGCGCCGCCAGGGGCAAAGCCGTGTCTCTGCTTGGTTCCCAGCTTCCCAGTGAACAGATGGAACTAGCAGCTCTTAGTTCCTAGGGGCTCCGAGTCCCTGGAAAAGAGGGAAGGCCATGAAGGCGGTGTGACATCAAGTGCCAGTGGAAAGGCCATCGCGCCACCCACAGTGCGAGCTCCTTCTCCTGCCCCGCGATCTTCTTGCCGTCTTCTTCTTGCTACTGTGTTAACTGCGCTCCTGGGTCAGCAGCTGCCTGGTCTGATTCTCAAGTATTTTAAATGAAGATTTTGCACTTGGTGCGAAACATATGATCATGCGCTGTGCTTTCTTGTTCTTTTTTTGGATTACATTAAATCAACAGAATAATGGTACATACCTAAGGGATACAGGTGACTTTTCAGTGCGCGGCTACGTTCCAGTCAGGATAATGTGCGTATCTCACTTTGCTATGGGGCCAGTTACAGTCCTCCCTTCCAGGACAGGCCTCGTAGTGCAGCATGGGGAGCCACAGCCCACATGGCCAGCTGCAGTTCAAGTCCCTGCCCAGCTGCTTGAACAGCATGCCAGGTGCGTGTGCCCCAAATCCTGACAGGATGGGGAAAAGGGACTGTGGCAGGACCACGCCCATTGGGGGTGCGCTCTCTAGCGAGTGCACATGCTCTCACAATAGAAATAAAATAAAATCCTCTCCTCCTTCTCTCTTGAAATACACAGTTGTTAACGGCAGTCAGCCTTCTGTGACACCAGTTCTCCCATCTAACTGCAGTTGCTTATCTGTTAACCACCCTCCCGCCACCCTTACCACCACCTGCCTGGCCGGCCCCTAGAAACCACTGTGCTGCCCTCTCCCGTGAGTCAAGTTTTCGCTGTCACATATGAGTAAGAACATGCAGGCGTGCCTGGTTATATCGCTACACCGATGTGCTCAGACTCATCTGTGCTGCCCCTTGACAGGGTCTCACGTGTTCCTCTCACATGGCTGGCTGGCTCGGCTCCCTGGGCTGGTCTCCAGACTGAGTGCGGTACTACGCAGGTACCACCACCACCCAGGAGCCCAGGGAATCCTCATTCAGGGGACCAGGTCTTACATATTTCATAAATACGGATCCAATTATCATTGTAAAACGCTGCTCAATATTCTATCAAACCCATGCCCATGGTACCATCCAGGTGGGCAAGATGTCCTGATCATGCACCGGTGGGGCTCCCCCTAGTGGCCAATACTCCAAATGACATACAGAAAAGAGAAACCAGTTTTCAACCGACCAATCCGGTCATTCAGTAAATATTTTCTGAGCACCTTCCAAGTGCAAGCACTGTCCCAGCTGTTTAGGGCACAGAGCTCGAGTGACTAGTCATCTACAGCCTAGCAAAGAGACATGCTTACAGCAAGAGCACACAGAGGACAATAAAATCAGAGATCAGCAGTGAAAGTGAACGGGGCAGATCATTCTACCAGGAACCTGGGGTAAAACAAACATTGTACTGAGCACTCAGTGTATTTCCAACCTTCCTGGTAGCTAAGACAAAGCAAAGAGAAAAAATCAAGACGCTGCCTATAGGTCTGATACAGTGAAAGAAATGAGTGAAGGACCGTGAGGACCATCACATGGACCGTAGTTTAAGGGAAGAGGCGAAACTGGGCTTCGTGTTTCATTATTATGTGGATTTTAGCTTAAACCAAGGATGCAGTAGTACGCTGTCGTTCACTGTAATTATTTCAAATATTGACCAAAACGTGGCTTTCTGCCATTCCATGTTAATACAGGGAGAAGGCTTAGAGAACTAGAGATGAGTACTCCTTATCCACTCCTTATCCAGCTTCTCTACACATTCAGCCAACTAGAGAGTTTGAGTCTAACTTCCATAAACCGGCAGGCCCTTTGAAGAGTAAAGCCTTCTATCGTTAGACGGAAATGCGCGCTTGTTATTTTTCACCTTGGAGGGTTCATTCCAAAAGGGGTGACTTAGAGATGATGCAGTCAGTGTGGCAGAGCGAGTCAGCCCCAGGTCGTCTGCATCGGGGCTTAACGGAAGGCTAGGGACATGTGTTCTCTTTGGCTTCCAGTGTCCCCATGGCTTGGTGGCTTTAGACATTTCATTTCACACATTTGAGCCACAGTTGTATTTCCTCAGGACTCCGGCAGGACTTAGAGTTCGTCTTTCATAGAATTTACAGAAGTTATTTCAACGGCATCCTTTCAATCCTTCTGAAAAAGCTCTGGAGCTCTTTCTGCACTTTGTGTCTGTGAGGTGGCATTTGCTTCTTAGACGTTTGTATCAACTCTTTGGAAATGTGTGGGCTGTTTCTGGTTGTTACAGCAACACAAAATTGTTTTGTATTCCCAGACACATGTTGACTGCCTTGCCAGACGATTCATTCAGGCAAGGAAAAAGTATATATGTATCTATGTAAACACACACATACATACACACCCAATACACACACACACACACACACACACACACACACACACACACACACACACACACACACACACACACACACACACACACATATATACACACACACACAATAACAGAATTTAATTCACATAAACACTAAGTCTGGTTTGCAGGGATTAATATGCTCTGAAATGTCTAGGAATGCAACTATGATGTAAATCAAAGGAAGACTGGACTCGATTTCACTCAGACTTAACAAGAACTGTTTACCACTTCAGAAAGACAGCACAGAGGACAACATTGCTGATAGCGCTTGAATCACTAAAAAAAGCCATCTGCTATAACAGTCTGCATCTGTAGACAGCACATTCAGGTGAGTCTACAGTGCAAACGCACGACTGCTTTCCTGTGTCTTCTACATGTCACATACAAGCACCGATCGTATGACCATAACTTACTGTCCCTTTATTTCGTCTCTTATCACAGTAATGACATTGTACTATTGCTATTTTAATTATTACATGTGTAGGAGGTTATATTACAAATGAATTTTATTTTAGAAGAGTAAAAGATTAACTATAAAACGTGTGCTATGAAGAGTGGGCACTGGGTCTCAGAGGTTTAAGAACTATTGAATTAGAGAGTCCAATAATCTCTAGGATCACTTACAAATTAAGTTATATAATTCTCTTGTTAATTTTTCAACGTATTACTAGGTTGTTAGAATGAGGCAGAGGAAAATAGAGGTTTGGCTGTTTGTCTTTCTTTGTTTTATTTTGCCAGAGGGTACACGTTCTTGCCAGAGAGAGACATAGAGAAGGAGAAAGCACTACCCAGTGGGGTGTGCCACCATCCGTCCTTCATTTCCCAATCCTGTCAGGATTTGGAGCCCCACACAACTGGGCCTGACATGTTATTCAAGCTGCCAGGACTGGGATTCAAACTGCAGTTGGCTATGTGGGCTCTGGCTCCCTTAACCACTAGGCCGTGAGCCCAGCCCCCAACTGGTTGTTGTTTTAGATTGTGTTGGTTCTGGGGACCAGTAGTTGGTGTAATGGCTATGTCACTGGACTCCCATGTAGTTGACTGCAGTTCAAGTCCCAGACTGGGTTACTTAAACTCATGCTGGGCGCATGTGCGTGCGTGCCCAACATCCCGAGAGGAGAAGGGATTGCGGCGTGGCCATCTCCCCTAGGGGGTGATTCCTCTCTCTCTCTCTGTCTCTCTTTGACTTTCTCGCAAGCGCACATGCCCTATAGCAAAAACCTCTCCAAAATAAAATTGTATTGGTTCTGGTTTGAGATTGGGAGTTCATTTATGCAACAAATTCAGGGCTGATTTCCAGGTCATAACAGAGTTGAGAGTTCTTCTTTTATAGAATTCACTTGTTTCAGCTGCATCTTTTCAATCCTCTTGAGCAAACTCCAGAGTCCTTTCTGCACTTTCTGTTAGGTGGCTTGCTTCTTAGAGGTTCTGTGTCAAAGACCAGCTTGGAGAGTCTGTTTGTTATTCTGTCTTCCAAATCACCTAGAAACTGCTCACAGAAACCACTGTTAGCTCATAGTCTAATTGCTCAGAACAAGCTGCCCCTAGGTGACAGTTTCCTTATTTTTAAAATTTTTCTTTATAGTAAACTTCTTTCTGGTCAATAGGGAGAGAACTTTAGGAGTAGCAGATGGAGCTAATAGTAAGCTGAGGGGACTGCAGTTCAAGTCCCAGACTGGGTTACTTAAACTCATGCTGGGCGCATGTGCGTGCGTGCCCAACATCCCGAGAGGAGAAGGGATTGCGGCGTGGCCATCTCCCCTAGGGGGTGATTCCTCTCTCTCTCTCTGTCTCTCTTTGACTTTCTGGCAAGCGCACATGCCCTATAGCAAAAACCTCTCCAAAATAAAATTGTATTGGTTCTGGTTTGAGATTGGGAGTTCATTTATGCAACAAATTCAGGGCTGATTTCCAGGTCATAACAGAGTTGAGAGTTCTTCTTTTATAGAATTCACTTGTTTCAGCTGCATCTTTTCAATCCTCTTGAGCAAACTCCAGAGTCCTTTCTGCACTTTCTGTTAGGTGGCTTGCTTCTTAGAGGTTCTGTGTCAAAGACCAGCTTGGAGAGTCTGTTTGTTATTCTGTCTTCCAAATCACCTAGAAACTGCTCACAGAAACCACTGTTAGCTCATAGTCTAATTGCTCAGAACAAGCTGCCCCTAGGTGACAGTTTCCTTATTTTTAAAATTTTTCTTTATAGTAAACTTCTTTCTGGTCAATAGGGAGAGAACTTTAGGAGTAGCAGATGGAGCTAATAGTAAGCTGAGGGGTCTGGGGTGAGCACCAAGAAGGTCAGAGCGTATTCCACCCACCTCGCAGCATTTGCAAGGTCAGGTGCATCTTATAGATTTGGCTCCTGGTCCCCTCTCCCAGCAAGAAATTTAAGACCACACTGGGCTACTTTGCATACTCTTCAAACACAGACCAAACAAACCTACTTCTCTCTTCAGTGCTTTTTTTTTTTTTTTTTTTTTT